TGTGATGAACTCTCACGTCAGACAGACCATGATATGGAAGGCCCTGGTTGTCTAAATGTAAGTTTACTGAGAGAAGGCGGGTAACACGTTCAGCCATTCTCTCTGGGATACTTGTTCTCCAGATGAAAGCTATGAAACGGTGGGACTTTGCACAGATAGGGACAACGTGGAGGGGAGGGTGGTGCAGGGGAAATTCAGAGCATTGGAGATTCAGCCTGAGAGAGATGATGTGGGCGGGGCAGATGCTGGGTCAGCGGTGGAGCAGAGTAGGAAGGAGGTCAGGCAGTTGGGCTTCAAAATGAGCAAAGGGGAAACAGTTTAACTCAACTCTACTTTGTGCTTACTCTCAGCCCATTTCCTAGTCTGTGGCCTCAACCCCAAAGTGCTCCTTCCAGCGAGAGTTAGCTGTGCGAGTTCATTCCCTGCAGTACCAGAGCTACCTCTCTGTTACCTGTTTACAATGAAACCTTACCAGCGTGCGGTCCCTTTAAGCAAAGTTAAATGCAGCAGTGGAGCAACTGAAAAGTGTCACCCAGCCTTAGCAGAGGTTATGACGTAGCGTGGAGGCAAAAGAAAAAAAAAGTGGGTGCCTCGTTCTGGCTATCCTGTTAGGTTAACAAAATCATAATTCTCCTTCAGTTTTTCATTTCCACAGTCAACACTTAGGTCCTTACTACCTCATGCCTTCCTCATTGAAAGATTCCTAGCTGGCCTCCCTTGTCTCCAATTCTCCTTCATTCAGTCCACTCTACTCTCTGTCACTAAATTGCTTTTAATGACCTCATCAAGTTAGGCCTCTGCTCAACGACTTGCCAGCGCTTTCAGTTGCCCGCCGAGTACAGTACGAATTCCCATCTGGCTTCAACCCTGCTCTCTAGACTCTTCCAACATTCCAAATGCCAGCCGTGTTCCATCCAAACTGAACTAGTTTTCAGTTTCTGAACCTGCCTTGAGATTTTCTCCTTTTCCATCTTTGCCGTGTTCCATCCCCTTTGCCTGGAATATTTTCCTTCATTATCCTTCCTTTGGCTCTAAAATCACCTTTTTTCCTGAAAATTCCTCCGATTAACCTAGCCAGGTACGACATTTTCTTTGAACATGCAAGTTTTGTGTCACTTAGGCTCTTATCACAAGTGTCCTTATCCTGTGCTCCCCATTAGAAAGCTCCACATTCAAATAAATTCAACTGCCTACTTGACATTTACACTTCTATGTCTCACAGACATTTCAAATAAAACATGTTAAAAAACAGTGACACACACACCCTGGAACTGTTCCTTCCCCCAATTTTACTCATTTTAGAAAATGGCACCTCCACCCACCCAGTTGCTTAAGCTAGAAACCTGGAAGTCATCCTTAATTTTCCTCTTCTAGTCCCACACATCCAGTCTGTCAGAAAGTCGGTCAATTCTGTCTTCAAAGTGTATCTTGACTCCACTCATTTTTACCACATCTACCTTAGTCCAAACTACCATCATCTCCCATAGATAATTGCAACTCCTAACTGGTTCCTTGTTTCCGCTCTTGTTCCCACGATTGTCTTATCACTACAGCCAGAGTGATTTTTTTTTAAGAAGTACACATCAGAACATGTGACGCCCTTCCACTGCTTCTCATTGCACTTAGAATAAGATCCACACTCCTTACTATGTCCTACAAGAGCCCTGCCTGTTTCTTCTACTTAGTCTCCTGCAACTCTTCTTCATATCTCGCTTTTCCCCTTGCTCACTGTGCTTTTCCCACAGAAATAGTTCAGGCTCTTACTTAAATAGAGCCTTTCCCCATACTGTTTCCTCTCTTGGAATGCTGTGTGTCCAGTCTTGGCATGGTGGACTCTTCCTCATCCTTCAGGCCTTAGTGTTATCACCTTTCTCAGACAGGCCTTCCCCAGCAGCCATTTTTCTCTATCTACCCAATTCTATCACTTTTTCCTGTTTTGTTGAATCCATAGCACTTCTCACAATTTGCAGTCACATATTTGGCCGTTTAATTTCATGTATTCAACAGATATTTATTGGATACCTACTGTGTGCTGTGTGATATACAGTGGAGAACACAACACGCAGTTTCTGTCTTCCCTCACTTCCATGAGGGGAAGGGCCACGCCTGTTTTTTCCAATCAATCACTGTACCCCAGAGCTTATCATGGCACCTGGCATATAGTAGATGATCAATGGTTGTTACTGAACAGGTTAATGATGGAAACTGTGTTTGTTCATATCTGCATCTCCCTCAAGAGCCCGAAACAGTGCCTCGTTTGTAGAAGGGGTTGGATAAATACAGTATGAGTGAGGTAGATAACAATCCTGGGCATTAAATTCTGAAAATGAAAGCCTGAGACAATAAGTGCTACAGGTTATGGGAGGCCTAATGTTTCTCTTTAGCTGATCTTTGATTTGGATAATTAGAAAGGCTATCAAGGAGAAAGGGAATATGGGTGACAAATATTTGAATATTGTCACAAGGAGGCTCCCTAGATTTCAATTTTAAAATACTGAAAATTACAGAATGTAATCAGAAGAAGTTTATAGAGACCAAATTCTGAGGAATCTTCTGCTCATTTTCCCAAGAGCAGTGATAGTTTATTTCAAGGGAAGAAAGAGGCGCTATCCTCTTTCAAAGGACAGACAGAACACACCTCAAGGAAATACAGTCATACCTCGTTATGTCGTTTTATTGCGCTTTGCAGATGTTGCGATTTTTTTTCCCTTACAAATTGAAGGTTTGTGGCAACCCTGTGTGGAGCAAGTCTATCAGTGTCATTCTTCCAACAGCATTTGCTCACATCATGTCTCTGTGTCACGTTTTGGTAGTTCTCATGACATTTCAAACTCTTTCACTGTTATTTTATTTGTTACGGTGGATCTGTGATCAACAATCTTTGCTGTTCCTCACTGAAGGCTAAGATGATGGTTAGCATTTCTTATTAATAAAGTTTTTTAATTAAGTATTTTTAATTAAGGTATGTACATTGTTTTGTTAGACCTAATGCTATTTCACACTTAATAGACTACAGTATAGTGGAAACATAAGTTTATATGCCCTGGGAAACAAAAAAATTCCTGTGACTCTCTTTATTGAGATATTTACTTTATTGCAGTGATCTGGAATTGAACCTGAAATATCTATGAGGTATACCTGTAAGTTCCCCACACAAGTTAGCAAATCAGTACAAGTACAGTCAACCCACCAAATCTGTGAGTTCTGCATCCACGAATTCAACAAACCATAGATTAAAAATAGATTTTTTTAAAAATCCAGAAATTTCCAACAAGCAAAACTTCAATTTGCCTCATTCAGGCAACTGTTTACATAGCATTTACATTGTATTTACAACTATTTACATGGCATTTACATTGAATTAGGTATTATAAACTGGAGATGATTTAAAGTATACGGGAGGATGTGTATAGATTTTATGCAAATTGAACACCATTTTATCTAAGGGACTTGAGCATCCTTGGATTTTGGTGTCCGATGGGGATCCTGGAACCCATCCACCACAGATACAAAGGGACAACTGTATGTACATGCTTGTTGGATGAACACATGGGCACCTACCAGAGGACTAGATCAGAGACTTTGAGGCCCCAGGGGACAGGAAGATTTGCTTGCCCAAGTCCAGTGACTGCAAATAATCTGGGATAACAATTTAGAGAGAGGGGCTTAATTGGCAGGCTCTCAGTTCCCAAGAGTAATCTCCAGATAGAACATGTTTCAGAGTTCTGTACTATGCATTAAAACCTCTTTCTGTAGTCCTGTGTTAGGAGTAAAGCACTGGGGTATGCTCAGGAAAGCTAGGGGTGAGCTCAAGCTAAGTCAAGTGTAATTTCCCCAAAAGAATAACTTGTGCTTGGTGACAAGGACATCCCTAACTCACAAATTATCTTAGGCAGAGAGGAAATTCAGGAACCATACTTTCTGATTCCAAAGTCAGGGCACATGGTTGGATAATAAACTACACAACTGGAAAGAATTGACTTAGATACTCTTGGGTATGTTAAAGCTTTAGTCATTAAGTGAGACATAAAGAGCATTCATTTTCTAATGGAAAATAAAATCTGCAAGAGTAATGTGTTTTGTTAATTGCCTCTATACCTAAACCCAAAGTTTTGATGTGAATCTCCAGAAATCCCCAACACACTTTTAGATAGTAGTTAAAATGTTTCGGTGCCACATTCCATACATTTGCCCGTTGAGTCCTCAGGGACAGGCAAGATGACTTTAGGCAGAGGCTCAGGAAAGTGTTCACAAAGGCCTGATCTTCCAGATGGGCTATGGAAACCTGTAAGGGTTGGAAAGGTGGAGGTGTGTGGGGAGGGTTTTCCAGGTGTAGGGAATAGTATAAGCAAAGTCACAAGACTGGGTGTGGGGTGAATAAGGGAACGCCCAAGAAGGTTTGGGGAATAGTGAATTATTCGATTTGGAGCATAAGGAACAGAATGGACCAAGGGCTTGGAATGCCAGCAAGAGCGGGGGCTGCCCTAAATCTGTTTAACAATGGAGCCTCCGTAGGATATGCATTAGGAAAGTGGCTAATGAAATCTCCCCACTTGTTGAGTTTGGGAAATTAAGCCTAGTTCCCCTGGACTAAGCTTTTCTCTAGCAGTGGGACGTGATGGGTTATGATTCTGTTCCACCTCAGATTTTTACAAATCTGGATGAAGGTCAAAGAGCCATCACCACCTCTTTCCTCTCCAACTTCTCAAGTCTGTTTTGCCCCTGGCTTCTGTTAATGGAATCTGATGAGTAGAAGCCTATTCAAAATCTTCAAGGTATTCATTCAGACTTTGGGGAAGAATCTTAAGAAGTTTTGTCCTGGGAAGGAATATCCCCTTGCTAATGCAGATTCTGATCTGTGGTAGAAAATATACTTTGTCTGCCTCCTTTCCCCAAAGACACATACATTTTAGTGTGACTTTGGCACAACTTTCTAGGTCACCTATGCTTAGAATACAGTTAACCATTTGTTGAGGACCTACTATATGCCATGACCACACTGAGAGGCAGGTATAATCCCCATTTTACAGATGAGGAAACTAAAGCGTAAAGAATTGAAGTGACTCTCCGAAGACTACACAGCTAGAGAGTGCGGCTAACGAGCCTCCAGGCTCTTTTCCCACTATACCATACTACCTTGAAAACGATCAGTCTCGTCTTCTACCTCTTGATAAGAAAATGCTACAGCCAGCCCACACTAATAGGAATTTCCAAGGAAGAAAGTTCCACAATCCCACACAATGTTTAACTGCCCTCATGATCAGGAAATCGTTCACTCTGTAACGAATATCCCTCTAAACAACGTGGAAATTCATTTCCTCTTGACTAGGTTTTTCACTCAGGGCTGTCGCTTGGCAGCTTTCCTGATATCAAAACAGCCACCGAGATCCTATTCTTACACTCCAGGAGGTCTTGGACTTGTTGGCCTCTGCCTTTGAGTGTTCTCACTGGCTCCTTTGCACCACCCCCTCCAGACAGTGCTGAGTTGGGCAAATCTCTTTGGGAGTGAGAAAGTGACACTTGAGAACATATTGGTTTATTATTACACATGGAAGAGTAAAATTAACCACACGAGGTGCCTCTGGAATTGCCAAGGGGAAGATGGCACCACCTTTCTCATCTTGTCTGCCTTTCTCTTGAGTCCTACCTCCATTCTTAAAGCTGTTGAACCATTTAGTTGAAGGGTGTGTGTGTTACTCAGAGAAGTCCCCTGGTCCCCCAAATTCCAGTGTCCATAGTCTCTGAATTAGTGTTCTTTTTTTTTTTTTAACTCACTAGACTCATCTTCTCATTCTGGCTCCTTCAAGAACTAAACTGAGAAACTAGTGCAAATTCTGGCGTTAATGGTCAATCTGTGGCTGAATGTATGTTTCTTCCCAGAAAATATACTTGCTTTTTAATCAGGGCGTTCAGTGCCTTTAAAACCAAGGGAGCAGGATCTTCACTGTGTCATCAGATATCCTTCGTGGGGCTGCTGATCCATCTTCTTGCATCCAGTTGGGTAATTCCAGAAACAAATTCACGTCAAGAGCATCTTCTCTTTGTACTTTTGGTGTGACTGGCCTTTCTCCTGAGCAACGCAAACAGAACTTTGTCAAATATCACAGACTCTGCAAGTGCTATTGGAGAAAAGGGATTAACCACTGAAACGCTGGGTTGCCTGCCACAGTACTCACACTCATTCGGAATCTAGTTTCACATCCCGTTACACTCCCTAATATGTGTTTGAAAGCACGTGAGTCTTCTCAGTGTTTTCTCCACAAGGCCATGTCTGCGAAGAGAAACTTCTTCAAAGCCCTCCTGGGAAGTGACTTGTGAAGCGGTGAGAGGGTGCTGTTCTGGAGGAATGGGACTTCCAGGATACCAGAAAAGCAGCACCTGACGATTTGCCCTTGCATGGTGACTTCCTGCTTCGTCAAACCCTAAGAGACTCCTGCTTCTCTTGTGGAGAAGTGAGGCCTAGAGCAGGGAAGTGTAGGCAAGTTTTAACTAGGAAACCCTGAGCTGCAATTCTCAGGAAGGTGGTAGGTTGTGTGAGGTGGAGGGGTAGTCAGATGACAGCTTCTGTATTGCTGTGCCTGATAACAGCCTGTTAATATTTTATCAGTGATCACATCACAGCATGTGGGGAGCCACCACTTAGGGCCAAAGAGAGAGATAACCTGCTGGACTTCCTGTTTGAGGTCTCCCCTGCTCCTTCCCGTTGAGATAACAGAACTTCTCATCAAAGCTGGGAGCCGCTCGCCCGGGGAAGCGAGACCAGGCTAGGCAAAGGCCAGGCTTCAGCCAGTTGAGGAGGAGCCCATGGGCTTCCCAGCCCGGGGCCTCCATGTCCCGGAGTGGGCAGCTGCAGGCACGAAAGAATACCCCGTCCGTGAGCCTAGGGCTGAGTGGGAGAGAACAGTTGACCCTGCGAGGCCTCAGTTGGCTTCCTTTAGCACTGGGCCCCTCCTCTCTCCTCTCTCCCTTCTCCCACGTCTGTGTTTGTCCTCTGTTCCAGAGCCAAAAGGCCTCAGGTTACCTGGATGGGCACTGCCTCTGCTGCCCCCAGCAGTTTCCGGGAGCCCTACCCAGGAGAAGGAGATGAGGGGGGAGGGGCTGAGCCCCAGTGTCACTCTTGCCGTTAGAGCCACTTAGGGTGTCCCAGGAGCTCCTAGGTTCGCTGTGCATTGTAGCCCTGCTTCCTCCTTAGCACTGCCCTCTCCCTTATTTCTCTACTTCCCATGGTCCTTCAGCTGGAGGAAGCAGTTTCTTTTGATCATCCTTCCCCCAGAAGCTCAAGTAGTTGCCAGACCCTCATTTCCTATGGGCTGGGATTTGAGGGGATTCACAAACCGTTTTTAACTAGCCCCTGACGCACCCCATCTTACGACACCTTTTCCTTATCTCTCGCAGGACAGACCATATCGCGCCTGGTACCACAGGTAGGTGTGCATGTCTTATGTCTCCCTTAGATCAACTGCCACCTCCTACGAGGCACAGATTTTACCTTGTTCACCCTTGTCACCCTCAAAGCCTTCAGCACATTGCCTGCCACCAGGTGAGAGCGCAGTTAGTGTGGGCCGGCTGGTAGCTCGCCGGCTAGAGTGCTAGCTGAATGGCTGTTTGACTGGCTGAATGCAGGTCTCTCAGAGAGCTGGAGTTTGTCTTTCCACCAAGAAGCCAGTTTCGGCCTCCTCCTCTCCTATTAATGATCACATAGCAGTGGGTCACTAGGGCCCCCAGGGGGAGAAAATATGAGTCACGCCATTATCAGAGGAATGAGGGAGGGCAGAAACATCTCTCCTTGTGCAAGGGTCAGAACCATGAGGCCAGGGAATAAACACAACGGCCTTCACTATCCCCTGGGTCTGTGGCTAATCTAAATTACTTTATGATGGAAGGCAATGGGGTGAGCTGAAAGCTGTTCAACTTGGACCCAGACTCTGGGAAACTATCTAGAGCAAGGCTTTCCTTGCTCAACCAGCCAAAGAGAACAGTTGATCTTTATCAGGTCTGCCTTAGTTTTTCTACTTGAGGATGAACTTCTAACTCCTTCCCTAGAATCCTCCCAGATTAAAAGGAAGGAGGACCTCTCTCAGCCAGCCTCAACCTAAGAGGAAGGGAAGCTCTGTGCCCAATTTTCCTCAAGACCCCCTACACTGTGGTGACAGACAGGGGCAGGGGGACAGCAGCAATCTGAAGGCAAAATCCCAGACCCGTGTTGCTGTGCGAAGAGTTTCCAAGCTTATGTTCAGACTCTGACACTCTGTGGCTTCAGGGAATTTACTCACCTCCCTGGGCCTCCGTTTTGTCTCCTGTAAAAGACCTGCTTCACTGGGGATATTTGGAGGATGCAGTGAAATCGTGGATCTGAACGCGCTTAGGCTGCCAGGTGGTGGGTCATCAGAGCCCGTATCAGACTGCTGCCCACTCAGCACAGCAGAGTCAGGAAGGCAAATCCATTTTCCAGCCTCCGTGACCCCCAGTCAAGGACTCCGGGTTTCCTGGTACCAGAGCAGAGGCATGACCTCTTATTAAACTTCTGTCCAAAGAGCCCTTTCTCCCCACCCTGACTCCTACCTGCCACTATTCCCTCTAAATGGGCTTGGATGCTGCAGTCCTAGCGTCTGCAACAAAAAAGGCCCACCTCAGGAATGCAAGTGTAGTGCCTCTTATAACAGGCTCCTTTGCGTTGAGGCCCGCTAGGTCTGGGGACTGGGGAAGCTGAGACTTGTAGGGCTCCAATCTTGTCAGTGTAGCCACAGTTAACATGTTTAAGAATCAAGCTTGGTTAATTCCCAGTGAGGTTAGAACAGGGCCAAATCACTGGCCTCCCAAACTCCTACACCTCCAGAGGTAGAGGAATTGGAGCTAAGGTGTCATGTCTTATTCAAATGTAAGCCTGGCATCCCTGGGATGGGACAGCTAGCTGGGCCCAGGCTGGCCCAGTGGCCAGCACAGCAGGAGGGGCAGTTCCAAGTGGTTCACTCGGTGAATTGGGTCTGTTCTCCCAGATTCCCCTCACGGGAGACCCGGAGAGCGTATGTGTCCCCGATGTTACCTTGCTGGCCTCACACGTTGTTTTCCTCAGACAACTTGGGACCTCTGGCAGACTCTTCGTTTTGGCTGTGAATATTGTTGGATTGGCAATGTCCTGTTTTGGGAGTCAGGAGACTGGGGCACTAACACCAGCCGTGTGGCCCTGGGAAAATCTCTTTACTGATGTGGGCCTTAGTTTCCCCATCCGCCAAATGGAGATTTTCTGTTCTATTTCACATTCCTCATAATGGTGGCTCAGAGCTGAATGGAATAAACACATGGCCTTTTTTTTTTTTTTTTTTTTTTTTTGCGGCACGCGGGCCTCTCACTGCCGTGGCCTCTCCCGCTGCAGAGCACAGGCTCCAGACGCGCAGGCCCAGCGGCCATGGCTCATGGGCCCAGCCGCTCTGTGGCATGCGGGATCCTGCCGGACCGGGGCACGAACCCGCGTCCCCTGCATCGGCAGACGGACCCCCAACCACTGCGCCACCAGGGAAGCCCAACACATAGCCTTTTAACAAATAAATGAAACAATTGTTGTGAGACGGTAGGATCCCTGGACGTTATGAAAAGGTTAATGTTTCCCTGGGGAGAGGGAGGGTGTCCTGCTTTCTTTCTTTTTATTTTCTTTTATTTTAATTTTAATTTTTTAAATTTACTTATCTTTGGCTGCGCTGGGTCTTTGTTGCTACGCGTGGGCTTTCTCTAGTTGTGGGGAGCGGGGGCTACTCTTTCGTTGCGGTGCGCAGGCTTCTCATTGAAGTGGCTTCTCTTGTTGTAAAGCATGGGCTCTAGGTGTGCGGGCTCGGTAATTGTGGTTCGCAGGCTCAGTAGTTGTGGTTCGCGGGCTCTAGAGCTCAGGCTCAGTAGTTGTGGCTCCCGGGCTTAGTCGCTCCGCGGCATGTGGGATCTTCCCGGACCAGGGATCGAACCCCTGTCCCCTGCGTTGGCAGGCGGATTCTTATCCACTGCGCCACCTGGGAAGCCCTGTGTCCTGCTTTCTTAATGTCTCCAGTAAAGTCTAGAATTTTCTATCCACCCAGTGGGGAGAAAGGCCAATTTCCATTCTACCCTCCCCTTCGCCCAATTCCCTCAGTCACACCTGCCCTGTCTGAATTAATTTGTATTAATAAAACAGTTACTCAATCAACAAGTGTTTATTGATCGCCTACTGTGTGCCCAGCACTCGTACAGATAGTCTTGGAAATATAGACAAGTCTGAGATATGGCCCCTACCCTCCAAGAATTTACAATGTACTTGTGAAATCAGTTACATGCACATGGAAAGATAAGTATCCATCAAAAATTGTGAATGATAAGCATCAAAGAGTGAGTTTTACACTGAGGGTTAGAGGACGGAGGGGTAGGATAGGGACGGAGTGGTCAGTGGAGGCTCAGTGAAGGAGGGGTGCCGAGCAACTTCTCCAACATGAGGAAGACTTGGCTAAGGGGAGAGGGCCTTCCCACTTGGGGCAGGAGCTTAAATATAGGCAAGAAGGTAGAACTGTGAAAGGCATGTCACAGACAGTCACTGGGCCCCTCCTGCTGGCACTGAGGTTTGGGGAGGTGTACTGGAGTTTGTCAGAAGCTGGTCATGGTCAAGCTTTCGGTTTGTTCGTGACTCCCACCCCGCCCCGCCCCCCCCAGGGGAAATGGGGCATTTTTAGACCTTGGAGCTGGAACCGGCTGCCTGGGAATCATTCTCGACTCTTCCATCTCAACTGAAATCCCAGGCAGCAGCTCAGCTATCACTCAGATGAGGGCCACGGCACCTTGGGCGTGATTATCCCATGCTGGAGCCCTTGGGTGCCTTCTAGCAGCTCTACCATATCTGGTAAAGGATGGTGGAGAGAATATGAAGGTGGCTGACAGGGGGCCCATCTGGGGCTGTGGTCTGTCAGAGACTCTGCAGTGCTCTGTGGGCAGACCCCGGGGGCCTGATCTCAGCCTTTGGGCTGATTCTCCATTAGGCCTGAAGACTCTCTGGGGGCTGCCTCTCTGGCCCAATAGAAATACCCACTGAGGTTCCCACACATGTCCACCCAGCTTCTTAGATACCCAAGTTCTTACTCTCTCTCGGGCAGCATCAAGGAGTGGTGCCTTCCTGAGTCCCCACCTGCTCCCATGCTGTCATCCCCCAGCCAAGGGCCATCTCTACAAAAACCAGTTTCCTGTTCCTAAAGAAACCATTGTGTAGGCCCTTTAACCTCGTTGTTAGCCAGGTCAAAGGGAGGCAGGGGCTTCAGTGAACGTTGGAGCTGGAGCTTCTGAGGGAGTTCCTCAGTAGAGTCAGAGTCTGCTGCCACCTTGAGCGTCCCACAGTTTCTTTCCTTGTGCTCTCCTCTAGCCGGGGGCTAGAGCCCTGGGCCATGATTCTGCCCTTTTTTTTTTTTTTTTGGTCCTCGGCTTCTTCTCCGAGGCTGCCCTCCCCGTCTCATTCTACACCCAGCTGCTCTCTGTTCCCTCCATACTGTGGGATGGCTTTATTTCAGTTCATACACAAACCAGTCTAGACACTGTGGAGTCATAACAAGAGTGGGATGGACGAGGCTCCAGGGCCCATTACTGGCCAATCAGTTTCTCTGCAGGGAGGCTTGAGAAGGAGGTTAGCGCCATGCCCATGGAACCCGTCACTTCTTCCCGCCCACCCCCATCCCCCAGCAATGAGCTAAGAGCCAACCTCAGCAAGAGGAAGGGTCTTTGATCACAGAGAGGGTCAGTCAGTGGCATGTGATTAGTGGGTTTGGGGATGGATTCCCAGGTAAACAGAAGGTAAAGGGGAGACTCTGGGGCCTGGCCTCAGGGGGGAGTGGAGTGGAGTTGAGGGTTGGGGACTCAGGGTGGGAGATGGGGAGCCAGGATGAAGGAAACAGAAAGTCTGACTTGACAAGCATCTTGACAGTTCAGCCTGCACGCTGTCACACCAGCTCCCATTCCTGCCTTTGCTCGATCCAGTGGCCAAAGTCAGTCTATCCTCAGCAGCACCTTCTGACACGATCCAGTGGCAACGTCCCTCACCTGTGGCCCTGGGGGAGGCTGTCTACTGGTTTTCACAGACCCAGCCACCCCCGAGCTCTGGCCCCTGGTCCTTCACACATACCCTGTCAGGCTGTAGGAGTTAAACTCACTCTTGCCTTTGGGTGGTTGACCAGGCCTTGGAGAGCTCCTAGTGGCCAGGGGCTGGGCCTGGTAGGCATCGTAGTAGTTGGACCGATTTCCCTGGGGCGAGCAGGAAAAGCAGAGGATGATTCCAGCTACCAGGGAGAACAGGGAGGAAATAATGCCCAAGTAAAGAGCCTCTCCGATCTCAAATTTCATGCTGTCAGGCACCAGTGGGGAGTAGAAGTCCCGCAAGATCCCGTGAAGATTCCAGGCAACAGGGATGAAGCCCAGGAGGCCTCCAAGGATGAAGAAGACTCCGCCCACCACCGCCACTCTGTCTTTGGCTCGGGACTCTTGGCAGAAGACTGTGCATCTCATGCCCACCACAGAGACAATGCAGGCCAAGGAGGAGATTGCACTGGATGTCACCATCATGGCCTGGGCAGCCTGGATGTCAGCAGGAAGGCCCAGCATGGTGCTGTAGATGTCACACTGAGTGATGCCTGTGCTGTGTGTGGCACACTCCATCCAGAGGCCCTTGGAGAAGCCGACTGCGGTCACGATGCTGGCACCGACGTAAGAGCTTGTTCGCCAGCTGGGGAGTAGCATGGCAACCAGGGTTCCCAACAGCCCCAGCAGGCCCAGGATGTAGCCCACAAGTTGGAGGCCAAGAGAGGCCATGGCAGACCTCTCAGTAGATGCGTCTTCAGGGCCTGCTCCCTCGTCTTCTGGCTGTAGCTCTTCCTCCTTAGATCCCGGCCTCTAATCCCTCATTTCAGAGTGTCTGTGTCAGGCCGACTTCTCTCCTCCTTACAAGTGTCTGTGGGTGGCCACGAGCAGGCTCAAGAAGGCATCTAGAAGACCTAAAAAAATCCATAAACCAGATTAAATATTGACCAGAAGCTTATGAGAAACCAGAAAATGCTGGATGCCTTTTGACCTTTGTTATCTTCTTTAGAAATAACACATGAGAAAGAAAAAAAAAAAACTTTGAAAGTGGAGCCAAAATGTCATCGGCTCCTGCGTAGGTACATGCTTTAGATTGGCAGCCGGACAAAGCCAGGGGCCAGACAAGTGGCTGCTTTCCGAGAAGGTGGTGATGCCATTGTCGGTTGTGGTGACCGTGTTAACTCCAGGTCAGGCTGTAGGCTGGCTCCGTCTCCAAGGCATGCTGTTTAACGCATTACCTGGCAACAGTGCCACGGGGCCCCTCAATTGCACACCGGTGCCAAACCCCAGGAGACTGGAGTAGGAGAAACAGACCCTAAGGTATAGCCTTGGACTCTAGGTTCTTAGAGGCCTCTTGAATCTCCAGCAGCCTAGAGAGCAATGGTCTAGCCCTGGGTCATCCTGCCCATGGTGAAAGTTGACTCCAGGGCAGGTTGAGGCAGGCAACAAAGCATCTGTCTACAGTCTCAGAGTTCAAGTCCTCCCAGCCCTGCCCAAATCCCCCTCCACAGGCTAGCCTGAGGCCTCCCACGTGTATAACACACCCAGACATTTCCTGTCTGCTCTCCTAATAGTTGCGCCACCATCCCTAGGCCTCTCGGGTGATGTGGGAGGATTCAGGATTCAGAAAAGGTTGTTCCAGGGCCCGGAGGGAGCCCTGACATTCCCTAGGCTATTTGTTAGGGGCACTGAGACAAAGGAAAAGGTAGCTGCTCTAGAATAAGGGGACTTGGTAAGAGGCAGGCATGTGAGTCAATCCTTTAGAATCTCAGAGCTGTTCAGGATTTTGCAGTGTTCAATGAGCATCCCCCTCTCACCGCCCCCAACACTTATCAAGGTTCAAGACACTAAAGGTCAAGGGCACATCCTTCTCTCCATCCACTACAAGACCCTCCAACCCACTAGTTTTTCAAGCCACCACAAGCTGGCTATTCCATTTTAGCCTTCTTCAAGATTTCTCTTTCTGTAATCATCTCTTAAATGTGAGTATTCCTCAGAAATCCATCCTTTGCTCAATGTACACTCTGTCACTGAGCAAACTGTCCACCCCCATGACATAACCTCCTACCCACCCACTGGCACTCCCAAATCTGCATAGACCTTCCTCCTGAGCTTCGAGACTTCCAGAGCAATCACCTATTTAAAATGTCCACCTGGGGACTTCCCTGGCGGCGCAGTGGTTGAGAATCCACCTGCCGATGCAAGAGACACGGGTTCGAGCCCTGG